CATTTCGATAATAAGTTATAATTATTTTTTAACTTCTGCAAAAACTGAGGAAAATCATTTTACAAAATAACAAATGTCTTAGAATATCTCGCAAAAGGAAATGCTCCAATACTAGTTAGAGCTAGTAAGGCCGAACGCTCCGTTCTTGAAGTAAAAGTGCGAGCTTTGCGCCAAAGTGACTTCACTAGAGAAAATCGGAGGATTGGCGCGGCGAGAGCTACTTCAAAGGAGTGAACCAGCCCTTCTATTCTCTTTTGCCCTTCTATTCTCCCAAATTTCGTAAATATTTCTTAACGGAATTAATAACGAAATATGTAGAATCTCCAAGTAAACCAGAAATAAATTTAGGCAATGGCCGGTTACACTTAATTTTATTAGAAACTATGTCCTAATATACGTGTGTTTAGTTCTTTTACATCTACATTCGTTGACAATCCGAGCTTCTACTCGAGTTTTAAAGTAAAGAGCTACTACATGAGCAAATTGTATTTTTTTAGAAAGAAGATAAACTTTCTCATTAGTTTCCTAACTAGCAACATCAAAGTTTTATATTTTTATTGTCTTTTTATAGTTCAATTATCATAAATATTTATTAATGGGATGGATGAGAAATTATGTAGAATCTCCAAGTGAATCAGAATGAACGACGGCTGGTAACATTTAGATTTATTAGAAATCATGTCCTAATATACTCGTGTTTAGTTTTTTTTACATCGACCGTCGTTATATTATTCTTCTACCAGAGTCTTAAAACGTACTTAATGAGTAAATTGTGTTTTTCAAAAAGAGATAAATTTTCTCATTAGCTTTTAAACTAAAGTTTTAAATTTTTTGCCTGGCCAATCTTTCACAGGGTGGTTGGGGAAGCAAGTTTGAATTTAAACAAGGATTGGTTACTCAGTGCACGCCATCTACAATATGGACACTAAACAATTCTAATGATACATGATTTATAGATTAGAGTTTTATTAGTATCCAGCTAACTGTGAGTGGTTTTTGTGGTCTTCCTCTTCATGTAAAGCAATCGGGGTAATATCATTCGAACATTTTCTTTGTGTTCTGAGTCCGGTTCAAAGGAACAAAGTAACGAACAATATTGCATGTTTTTTAATAAATTTATGCTCGAAGATGACGGGAATTAATTTGAATTTATTGTATTAGTTAACAAAATGTACTTAATATGATCAGATTTTTTCATATTTACAATCTTTTTTCCTAGTTTAAAATTTAGTATAGATTTCATCTAAATGTATTACATTGTTGCTACTTAAATTCAGGGATATTTTAAAAAAACTTTCAAAATAAAAAAAATTTAAACGAAACAATAAAAGGTCTAAAAGTTATAATTATTTTTTAACTTCATAGATAATATTGAGTTTCATTAAGTAAAAACTTTGCTTGATTTACTAAATAATATTATTATTCCATAAATTTATTCTTAGTAATTAAGTACTATAAATTCCTTCATAATAATAGTGCATTATAAATATTTTTCATTATAATATTTTACCAGAAACTTCAAAAATGATATTAATAGATAAACTTCTTCATCTGATATAGTATATATAATGCTTTGCAGTGTGCTCATAAACTTCTTAATCATAATTAATTTTAAAGCAATATTGCTCAAAAAATGTCATCAAATTAATCAAATTAATATTATACAATATCCTTCATACAAATATTGTACAAAAAAATTTTCATAATGGATAAAACTCTATAAAAAATACTTTTAGTTTAAAAATAATTTCATAAAATGAAAATTGTTTAGCACTTAGACGCACTGGAAGTTCATGTATAAAATGATTGTAATCACATTATTAAAATTATTCTATTATAGTATGTAGCCAAGTGATGGATAAATTACCTTGCTTTCGGCGCAACTCTTGTAATTGTTTGTGTCGCAATTCGGCAATATCTATTTCTTCCTTTACCATTACAGGCGTGTTTGGTACTCCAATTCCATTTATTAAAGGTAAACGTCTTGCTCCATCTTCATGTCCTCCCCAATTGAACAGCCCAGTCTGATTTCTATCACCTAAAAAAATTTAATTTTATTCTAACAAAAATAATTTAAAATTTTCATAAATAATAACTTTAAATTACTCATTTATGAATTCACAAGTGGGGAAAATAGTTATTAAAACCGTGTCCTTAAAAAAGTTAATTCTTGATCATTACCACTTTATGAATTTATTTCTTCCCCCCATCATCTAAGAAGTTTTATAAAAAATATCAGATATCAATAAGCAATGTTTTTGTATGTAAAAATTGTATAGATTTTTATTATTGTGGCTTAGTTGACAAAATAATTAATATCTTTGATAATTTATCTTCTAATTGTCGTATTTTCACGTTCAAACATGCTATCTTGAGATCATGCATTCGGCTAGCGACTTTTCTATAACTTAAACTATGGATTCGGGCAAAAAATGGACTTTCTCTGAATAAACATAATTAGATTTGTATAAAGCCCCCAAGAGGGGAAGACAGCTGCTTTTCTATAAGTTACAGATAGACTGACGGAGAAAACTCTTGGCAAGTGTTTTCGATCGCCAAAGGAAAAAAAATTGAGTTCATATGTTAATTGTTGGTATGTTGGCTGCAGAAATGATAGTATATTTGTAGAGCTAGATGAAGCAAATTCCTTTTTGAACAAAAGGATTTTTTTTTTTGGCGAATTCAGAGATCTCCGATTTTCAAGCGAATTTTGCCTTTGTTCACTACGGGCAGAAACATCTTTATTGGAAACAGTGACAATTTTATGAACGTTTTTTGACTGTTGCTGAAATTTTGTTTGTATTTGAACCAAATATGAAATAAAACTTAAAAAAGAGTGTTTTACGTCTGAGATCAAAAAGAGATGTTACTAAGCAAGTAAAAAAATGCTTAAAAATTTGATATCTTTGGCAATAAATTATAATTCGAAATAGTGAGACGAAATTTGAGCGAAACGTCTGTGGTGTGAAGTAGCATGATTGTAAGCTAAGGGACTATAAAGTATGCTATGCTGTTATAAGTGGTTGATCAATAATGTTTTGTTGTTTAGCTAAATTACCTCGATAAGGAGAGTGTGTGTTTCATGAGTTCAAGATAATTATTCGACAAGATAAGGAAAAAAATCGTGGAATGACAATTATTTCAGACTTGTAAGGCAAATTTGAAAGAAGATTATTGCTTAAAAATTAATGACTTTGGTTGTTTAGTGTTTGAAATGAAGCACTGAATAGACTAATTGCTCAAAAGACACAATATCGAAAACAAGAACATGTTTGTCAGATCAGAATTTATTTTGTAATTTGAGAATTACGAATATTTAGCAAATATTTCAATATTTCTGTGATAATTGCTGTCATCCTTGTAATTGCTGCCATCCTTGTTTTGTAATATGCCTGAATAATCAAGGGTTGGCAAAAAAATAAAATTTCTAGGGCATGATCTAGATTTTGTTCTCTGAATATATTTTTTGCTCTAATTTATTGACATAAGTTTTTTGCTCTTTTTGTTATTATTTTTCATTTAATAAAATATTGAGTGTCAGCAACATTTTTTTTTCTGTGATGACAAGGATTTGTATATCCAATAGCCATATAGCAATATAGAAAGGTCTGAGCGTAATCATACTCTATTTTTATTTCACACAATAACACAAATGTGCTACTATGAATTCATTCTACTCTAACTTTATTTCAATTTTTAAGAAAATATGAACATGTTAATGAAATATTGTAATCTGAGCTACAATTTACTGTTATATCTCCCCTGTTAAGGAACACTAAACCCTACATTCAATCCAATCCCCTGCTAATGAGTTTTTGGCTTGTCTAGCAGTTCTATGACAGGTAAGATTTTCCAAATTTATTGACGTAGCCCCCCGGGTGTGAAAGGTAGGCAAACAAACCCCTTCCATAGGGTAAACAAAACGTTGCAAATTTACAAATTGCGCAACACTTATAAAACGAAAAAACAAAAGATTATAAATAATCGATTTCTCCAGAATAAATATTGATATTACATATTTCGTGAAGCTCAGCGCCTAACAAAAATATATTTCTACATTGGATGAGGCTAAATTATTATTGTACCCATTAAAATGAGCAATGTATTCCATGGAACATAGGGTGATATTCACCTCTGAGAGGTAAAAAAGAGAGTTAAGTCGTGACTTGACATCCTCGCTCTCCCGACCTCAACCCATTGGACTTTTTCTTCTGGCAGAAATCTTTGGTACTAGAGGCATTTATGGACTCGAAGATGTCGTAGCTAGAATCGTAGTTGCCGCAAACAAAATTCACCCAACGCCAGAACTGTGCGACGACAATCGTGGAAGCCACTTTAAGCATTTTTTGAGAGTATTTGTCATCAGATTGAGCAACTTAATATAACTATGGTACTTGATATAATAACTTGGTATCGCTTAATCGCTTTATTGTAAGTCCATGTTGAAATTTTAATTACACTTTTTCAGCTTCTCAAGGAGGAGTCCTCCTTTAGTTCCATAGTAATTATTGGTGAAAATGGTACCATCACCCTTTTTATTTAGTTTACAAATATTTAATATATAATGAAATATAAATTAATAAACAANCATTTATACGACGATTTTTATAGGTCCCAGAACATTAGGTAAGAAAATAATGATAAACATCCTTCGTTTATGCGTCGCTCTAAATATAAATTTTTCGCTTATGCACCGAAATTTAAGGCTAATATTTTAATTTTTTTATCCTTTAAGTATTTTTTTCTTTAAAAAAATGGTTTTAAATTAAAAATGAAGCAAATAAACAATCCTTATTACAGATAAAAAGAAATATGTAGTTAGATCCTATTGAATTTTCTTCACCCTATGACCGTCTCATTTTTGCTGTTTCTGGAAAGACATTCTTTCTACAATTTTGAATAGGGTGTCTTATCTGTTACACCAACAACAATGAAAGCCCATTCATCTTTAAGAAAATGACCATTCCTCTTGTCCAGAGGTTAGCTTCACTGTCATGCTGTTTTCTAGGGAAAAAAAAGGACACCTGGAATATGAAAGAGACCGCTATCACTTATGCAGTCAGATGGGCATCATGAGTAAATAAAAGGAGGTGGTCCTTTTTGGTAACAGCAGTAATTGAACAACTTATTGAGCAGCATATTATGACGTCAAGTACTTTTCTTAGAAATTTATCATGTGATGTTTCATCCCCTCTCAAAAAACTCAATTTGTTTGTGAATTTTTTTTCTTCTCAATTTAACTGTTCATTTATATCTAACTTGTGGAAGATGAGAACGTGATGGATGATGCTGACGAGGATGATAAAGTTCCTCCAAATCACACAGCAGTATTAGGAGCTTTAGACACTATTATTGACTATTTACAATTTAATTTTGCTTCTAAAACTCCCTTGTCCCATTTATATGAACTGGAAAAAACCGTTTTTGAATAACGTCGGCAAAAACAAATACAAACCTGTATTAAGATTATTTTGTAAGAAAATAAATTGTCTTTAGGTATGTTAAATTTCTTTGTATAATTATAGTAAATACCGAAACAGTATAAATATTAACATTTTATCTTTAGAAACAAATTTAGTCATATTGTCACTGTAATTTACATAGCGTTTTAGAATTTTGAAGTTTTTCACTTATGAGCCTCTTTCACTTATGCGCTTTTTTCTGTTGGCCCCTTACACCGGTGCATAAGTGAGAGTTCACTGTATTGGTGAAAATGGTACCATCACCCTTTTTATTTAGTTTAAAATAAATACAAATAAATATATATATAATGAAATATAAATTAATAAACAATTTATACTGACCTGGTATATTGGGTACATTGTTAGAATTACTTCTTTTAATTGGAAAACATAAAGGAGCCGAATGTGTCCATTGATTGTTGACGCAGTGAGCCACTGATTTACCATACATTATATAGCCAGGATGACAACGGAAGTGAATTACTTCCCCATTGCGAAATATAAAATTCAATCCATTGTCTGGTGCTCTAGGAGCTGGACAGTTTAGGTTGTTCCACGCGCAGCACAGAATGAAACCTAAAAAAGTAAAAGTATATTTAATATACATCAAATTGTTTTATCTGAATCGAATTAGTTAAGTGTTTTGCAGAAGAGATTGCAGAAGAATGTGAGCAAGTGATTTAACAACTGCGAGCAAACGTTTTAATTCTATGTTTAAATTCAAGCATAACGTGCGCATTTAGTTTGTGGAAAGAGATCCTTTCTTAAAATGTTTACTACCAGTCGCTTAACAGACACAGCAAACCCTTAAGATGCTGAAAGAAAAAAAATCTCAGTTGTCTCTCAGACTTTTTCAATTCTGAAAAATAATTTAAATGGGAAGAATTATTTTGTTGAAGAAATCTGAAAAAAGGAATAAAAAAACGGGTAGAACTTTTCAAACATGGAAAATTAATGTTAAAAGATACACTATAAAAAATTCCGAATCAAATTACGGTAAAAATGCCGGTACTTTATACAATAAAATCAGTTTTCACTCGTAACATGTTATGGAACAATAAATATGATATACCATAATTTTTACAGTAATAATTACCGGAAAATCACTAAATCACTGCAATTGAATAAATATTGCGATATAATATTTTACGGATGATGCACCCAAAGTTCCGGTACTTTATACCGTAGTACGATACTGACACTTTATGGTGTAGAGGTAATTAAAAATTCATAGCAAAAACAGAGAACTGTTTAAAATAAATTCAAAATATTTTTTAGAATTTCAATTTTTGAAAACTTTCTGTTATTTTTTTTCTCTAAAAAAAGTTTTAAAAAAAATATTTGTAACGTTAAATTATGGGCTTTTTTAAAGTTGGGACTTTACACAATTGTCCAAATCAAACAAGAGTAAAATTTGAAAAGTTGGTTATAAATAATGATTGAAAATGCAAAATTTATTAATATCTTCCTTTAATGAAGATGTGTTGTGATTTCAAATCTAGCTTAAACTCTTGCAATCATCTCTGATACAAAGTGTTAATTATGTTTAGGATAATTAGGTCTCAGCAGTTCATTGAACTGCGATATCCTTATAATCAACAAAACTTGTTTATGTTAATTCATTCTACTTTGCAATATATTGAAGAAAGAATAGGTTTTTAAAAATATAACACAAATTTAGATTACGTTACAGTTAATACAATTATAATGCACTTTTTAAACTGGCTGATTTCGTACAAAAGGAAAACAAGTAATTTTAATTTTATTTAATAGTTGCTTGCAAAGTAAAATCACATTACTTTTAGATTTAAGTTAAAAATATTAGCTATACTAAAATCACGAAGTGCGAGCATAATATTTATTGATAGTATTTTATTATTACACTAAGAAAATAAGAAATGTTAGAACTTCAATATGGTAAAATTTACCGTGTATCTGGCTCTATGAAAACTTCAAAAAGCTAGGTTGTTTTTACAGAAGAGCTTTCGCAATGATTTTGGTAAAATTAATCATAAAATATGGCTTTGTAATATGTGATAAAATTTGGTTAATGTGGAAACATTTTGTAATTTTATATGATGCCTTAAAGCCTTAGACTATGGCGTAAAAATTGCTCAATCGGTTAAAGTGACTTTTAATTTTGGAATTTTAGTAAATGTGTTGTAATAAGACGTATTATTTTGAAAAACTGCATTCTTAGTAAACCATGATCATATGAACAGAAAAATTACCAAATGAATGATTTAAATACCGTATATTACGGATTTTATTAACCAAATGTTTTTTTTTTCACCAAAAATGTCATTACCGTACAGTAGGGTAATTTTACTAGTATTTTTTTTCGTGCAAAATTAATTTAATATAAATAAGAATTTGCTTCTTTCCTTAAGTGAAATACTTTTATACTAAATTTTGAAAATCTTAAAAGTTAAAAATAAATCTTGAAATATATTTTTATTTTATTTAAAAAGTATTTTTAAAATTTATTGCATTATTTATTTTTTGTTTAACTTTTTATTTAAGTTAAAGACAATGTTGATATATATATTTTTTTAATATTGTCTGTAAAAATCTGTGAGGAGTAAAAATTATGAATCTATATTAGTAAATCAAATATATCGAAAATCTGATTTTCAATGAGTGCAATGACGCTACTAATTTTTATATAGATACAAAAAAGCATATTATTTTTAACATGGCAAAACTGAATCTCAAAAAATAATAAAAATTAAAGAAATAAAGAGTTTTTCATATTTGTTGGTAAATTGTATTTGATTTCTAGCACCAAAATGCAAACTATTTAAAAGCATTCTTTACTTGTTAACAGTTAAGTTTATTACTGTTAACAAGTAAATGCTTTAATATTTTGTGAAAGGTATGAAAATGTTTTAATATTTTGTAAAGGTATTTTATGTCAACTGTGATCAGTAATTTTAAAATATTTATCCTAAAATAATGCTTCAAAATTAATAGCATGCAAAAAGTCGAATGAGGTTTAATGTATTTTAAAAAATAATTGTTAATATTTTCAAAATTTATGTAAGATAGTTTTGTTTTTATAACAACGCGACAATTATTGTGTAGACTTTTTTATATTCAATTAAACACGCAGGGTGTGTCGTAATCGCTGCANAAATTGAAGTAAAACAAACGTTAGAAGTCGCAAATTAATAAAAATAAGCGAGAGATAAAAGCATTATTAAAACCTTAATACCTATTGTAAATGACGGGATTAAAAATACCAGAACCATCATAACTACTAGCTTAAATTTGTAAATGTTTCAAACAATCACCTTTCACCTCCTTAAATTCCTCAGACGATCAAACAGGTTTTAATGCTTTTAATTTCAACTTCCTTGATAACAATTCGTCATATTTTGATAATTTTTTTCTTTGCTAAAAGTTCATTTTTGGCCTCCTATTGTTTGCAATTTTTACTTCATTTCTGATGAAGATTCATAAAATATACATTGACCATATTTTTTTACGTAAATAAGCTACCATTTATTATTTATATAAGTTTTAGCTTTAGCAAGTTTGAGAAAGACTCTTGAAATTGCCTCAAATTTTTCGCGCCCTTTAATAAGCATACAAAATTTATTCACAAATCTGCTGTAAGATATTTGTAGAACTTTTCCGAAATTAAAAACTTTTTTAAAAAATGATGATCATAGATATAGCTGATATAGCTTTTGATATAGCTGAAAATGTTTTAATTTCATACATACATTTCACATATTCCTTTTCATATTCATGTTTATTTACAAATTTTGTATATTATTTAAAAAATGTTCTTCTAATGACATCCAAAAAAATTTCTAAACTCCAAGTGCTCGCATTTTTTTAAATTATTTCTTTTCTGTTTTGTATTTGTAATAATGAAGAAAAAAATTATGTCTTAAAAACTAGGTAAAAAAAAGTATTAAAAACACCAATATTTTAAATTTTCTGCAACTGTTTTTTCTTAGTTTTTAATAAAAATTGTTTCAGAGATAAAAAATCATGAAAAAAAATATCACTAAGAAAAAAAGCATTCGTGTCTACCTTAAAAATTTAGGAAATTCATATTTGCAATGAGGGAAAGTACAGAAAAGGTTTAAAATTCTTACCACCAGGCGTTCACTTATTAGCAGCACGCTTAAGCAATAATTTAAATTCAAATCACCATTAAATGTATTATTTTTACAGAAATTAAAGCATTTTATTGTGATAATACAATCTTGATAGATATTTAAAGAAAGAAAGAAAAAAGTCACCAATCCTTTTTCGGATTGCTTCGCAATTCAAACTCATTTCACTCACTCATAAGAAACTTATGTATTACGCACTCTGGTCGGTGGACGCCAGATGCGGATTCGTATCGACCAGAGACACGCCGGGATTCGAACCCGGTTCACCTAATTGAAAGGCGAACGCTCTATCCCTTGAGCCATAGCGGTTCCACATGTACAGCTTGAAAAAACTTTTGATTCATAAAATTTCTCTGAGAAAAAAAGTATGGTAAAAACTTATGGAAAATGGCAACATTTGCCGTATTTCTGGCTCTATGGGAACACCAAGAAGCGCGACAATCCTCATCGAAGTGCTTTGGTAATGGCTTTTGGTAAAATCTAATATAAAGTATGATTTTATTAACATGCTTCTTAGAAGTAAATGTTGTAAAATTTAGTAATTTTATCATGATACCTTAGAGTAGGGCATAAGAACCATTTATACTGTTAAATTTACTTTTCAGTTTTGTGTTTTTACTAAATGTTTGGTAAGAAGAACAATAATTTTGGAAAATCTTAATTTTTTGTTAACCGTAAACATATCAAATGGAAAAATTATCGAATGACTGATTTAAACTCCAATATTTTAATTTTATTACCAGAATTATGGATTTTTTTTTACCAGAAATGTCATTACCAATTAAGTACAGCAATTTTAAAAGAATTTTATTCCCCACGTTTTATCTCAATTTATATAAATTACGATTTTATTAATATAAAATTATAAATTTCGGAGTTTGCAGGAATAACATATCATTTATATTTATATAGATCTGACATAAAACCATAATGTCTTTATTCTAACATGAATGCGCAAAATTAATAAAAACTAAAGGAAATGATAAGAAAATTTTAAAAAATTGATGAAATACCGATCGATCTTCGTTGATAAAACACATTCTAAAATTTTCCTCGAATTTACAATTGAATTTGCGTAAATTGATAAGAGTAGTTAAAACAAAAATATAGAACTGTTTTTTCTTGTTAATACGTATTGTTCGCTGTTGACCTTTTATTTCTTCCCAACCTATAGTTACAGATTGTTTCAGTTTATCGTTGTCCACGAAAAAGTGTAACATGACTGTTTAGTTCTCTGTCGTCAATATGAAAAAAAAGGTCTCTTTGAGCCGTTGAAAGATCATTTTAGTAGAAGCCGCCTTATTTTAGTAGAACAAACAAACGCAAATCGTTTTGAATAAGGACGTGTTTTGTAATAAAAGCGTACTAGCAAATCACAAACACTGTTCTTAGGACCAATCAAATGCCTGTAACTATAGCTTAGGTTATTTGGATGGTAAAAGAGTT